TGTATGTATGTATGTATGTATGTATGTATGTATGTATGTATGTATGTATGTATGTTTGCCATTGTACATCAAATTGCCCTTTTGGGATCGATAAAAGTGTAATTTTATCTATCTATCTATCTATCTATCTATCTATCTATCTATCTATCTATCTATCTATCTATCTATCTATCTATCTATCTACCTATCCCATTACCCCCTTATAATGACAATAAGGCTAATTGCGTCCTCGTACTTTATCTATCCTTTTCTTTCTCACTCTATATCTTGGCTCTCTCTCGCTCTTCCAATGCTCGCCCCTCCCGTCTCTACCCCAGAATGTTTATGAACCTATTAACGTTATTTACTTCCCTTTGACATATCTTATCAGAGACCACTCATGTTCTGCTCCTCTCTTTGCTTCACCTTCACCCCTCTCACATCCTTCTCCTCTCCTTACTATCTTCTCTTTACTCATTATTCTCATTTTCCGTCTCAAGTCTATCAGAGTAAGTAAGTAAACAAATACCACAACTTTTTGCCCTTCAATGGAGAATGTTTGTTTTTGTATACGTTAAATGAGGAAACAAAATTGATACCGACCTATATCGTGTACTATGGTAAAATGAGGAAATGGAACGACCTTCGTTTATAAGGAATATTTAGAGTTCAAGAACAAACAATAAAGTATGCATATAACGCATATTTTAACATTGAAGTCCTATTTACGAGACAAGGCCTCAAGAGTTAACATCAATCGAACAAGCTAGATTGAGCGGGGAACATTGCGAGCCCCACAAACAGCCTGTGTTTTGGAACAACCCACTGCCATTTAGGATTCGAACTATGACCATCGGTACTGTAATCCGTTATGATACCGACTAAGCAGCCAGTGATGTCATCGACTACTGACAAATGTTGTATGTTTCTTTGTTGAGGAGTGAACAGTAGAATAATGTGGACTCTTGTCCTCCCCTTTTCTCTAGACAATGGTGAGACAACTTCCACAATGCAGCCAACGTATTAATTTGTGTTATGATTCTTTTCTTTTGACATTGGCCCCAATTTAGAAACGAATACAATGGGTTGCATGAAACAACATATGGGAAGTTAGAATGAAAAGAATGTCTGGCAGACACATGCGCTGTTTTGAAAACAAATGCATCTATTTCATTGACAATATGCCATATGAATGAAGGCCGACTGTCTCGCCAGTGCATTGTTGCAACGTCACAGACGGTTTTAGCTGTTTATCAAACTACTACGTTCCCGTCAATGCGTTACGTTCGCTTTCACATTTATACATTCTCAAAGACAAAGTCTCCTTACATATATGCCATTGCGTTGAAAGCGCGAGCTATGGCTATCCCAATACTACCACACCCCATCAATCTTTCCCCTGGCCTGGGAGCCACTCGAGTGACCACAAGGAATAACAACTCATTAATATTTATGACTGAACTTTGCTACCGTCGTGAAGGAGGATGACCGGGGAGGTCACTGCGCCAGTCGGCTGGACATACGTTAGAACTTGAGGTGACACTGGTCTACTCACTCCCCTTTCCGACTTTTTTGAGCCCCACCGATATTGGATTTTTTTTATCTTTCCTTTTTCCCCATTCCACGATGGTATCCACAAAGTGTGGAGCAAAAATAAAACTGTGACACCCCCAGACGTCTCATTCTTGTTCAGCCTCTATAACTCGACAACCTCCGATGTTGGCGACCTCAGCCTCCCGGAATGGCTGTTTGAGGCGGCTGTAAGCCAGTTCGTTCGTGACTCAGTATACGGGCAGGGGTTTAGCAAAATTGTAACTTTCAGCTTTTGCTTTTTCAGGTTATTCTGAGCAATCAATGACAGATGCTTGGCTGAATACTGGCTAGTTTTTTCTCAGAGCTGGGGAGTAGATGTGCGGTATCTAGCAACTGGAGCTGAACCAAGCCCTTAAAAGAGGGTTTGATATAAAACGTAACATTTTTAAAGTTTTAAAACATTTGTTTTTCTCATTGCACAGGACGTGCCCTACCCTAAGACAGCATTCTCAAAGTAGAAGTACAATCTCAGTTGCATTTATTCTGAATGCTAAGTCCGACAAAGGGGTTTCAACGTACCCCTAGGGCCTCTGAAGAAATGAACAGCTAAACATTTAAAAAATGCTTCGTACTCTTATTGACAAACAAGCTCTAATCATCCGAACGCGGTGACACAGTTAGGCTCCAAAGCTTACATGCACTAACTATAAGTTTGTTTTGCATGGGGGGATTATACTATTTTATAGAGTATCTCCACCTTTCAGCTATGGTACTGTATTCCACCCATAAATGATTGGCCGTCACAGATGTGGGTTGAAGCATCTCTCTAGTAAATGATCTGACTTGTGTCCATAGCGATGTTTAATATTTACAATTGGCCCTGGAGGGAATACGAAAAGGAGGATGTCCCAGGAGAAACAGGGGGTGGTATGGTGACGGTGACATGAGGAGACACGAGTACAGAGGGAGGACGACGGATGGAACAGCCCATGCCCGGTCGGATAAAGGAGACCCGTGCCAGGTTCAAGATCCTTCGAATACCACTGGGTCTGGTCGACAAACTCACTGCGACAAGGCTAAGGCAGGGGCATTGTGGGGGGCACTTTAAGCTCAGTTGGTATCATGTTGAGCTGAGGGTGACATTGGTTCGAATCCCCAAAGGGATGTTACTAAATTTGGGTTGTTAGGAGGATTTCGAGGGTCTCCACCTATTTGGCACAGTTCCAAAGGATATTGACGTTACATTCAGAGATACCGACTCTCAAATGACCTGATTGTACATAAAGGGGCGATAACCCCATCTTATACGACTGAGGCCTTGCTCTGGGACTTTGTGTCAATTCTTGTCCATTTTTAGCTTTTTATTGGTCCAGTGGTCCCTTTGGGATACCGTGCTGAGAATCATATTCTAATCAGACCATCAGTGACAAAATGAATGTGGGTATGCAAATGTCATGATAATTCAGCACAAAAGACACATAAAAAAGGATACGAACAACTCTGGTTATATCTATATATCTACTACCAGCCCCCCCCCCCCCCAAAGTTGAGAAAATCACCAGACTGCCCGGGGAGGGGGCGGGATTTTTAAGCTTGATTAGAAATAAAGTGTTAGTCCTAGCCTGACGGCATTGCAAGCACGACACAGAATAAGAATACACGAAGAACCATTCTATCATCTCCCTGGTCCCCGTCTAGCCCCTTTTCACTAACCAACGTTCAGCATTTAGAATTCAATAGCAATGTGAAAACTTTTGCCAAGACACAGATTTTTTACACGCCAAAAGGCACAGATTATATCACAACAAAATGTTCCTCAGAGAGAAAAAACTGAATAAATTCCATAATGACGTCATTGATTTCTAAGGTGTACTCTCGACATTACTATTTTTTTCACCATGTATACCCAAGGAACGTGCACTTCCGATAGACAATATTAGTGTAGTAAGGAATTGATAGTCAGGTACGTAAAACCAACACTGTCCATGATGTGAAGTTGGAGATTCAAGAGTTTATGAATGGGTAATTATTTATTAATTCATCTGTCTGTCTGTCTGTCTACCTGTCTGTCTGTCTGATTGCTTATCTGTCTGTCTGACTGCCTGTCTGTCTCTTCTTATCCACTCTTTCTCTATCACCCTCTGTTTTTGTTTCTGTCCGTCCGTCTGTCTGTCTGTCTGTCTGTCTGTCTGTCTGTCTGTCTGTCTGTCTGTCTGTC